AGCGGTAGTTTTTTTTTTCTATTCATTTATAGTTATTGTAAAAAAAAAAGTTATGAATTCGTTCAACCATTATACCAGATCATTATATCCAAGTGGGTTTAAATTATTTTTTATGTTAATTAATGCAGAATCGTTGGATGAGACTCGTGGACTCGGATGGCTTAAATTGTTTACTTCGATTGCTACGTCGTTTTAAGGGCAAATGGCAATGCAACTTTCGGAAAATCTGTCGCCTAACACTAGCGTATTATTTATTTAGCATTCCGGTAAAAGATTCATTAAGTACAAAACGGATTCTTTTTCTCAGGCTTACATATATAGGTGTAGGTAGGCAGTAACTAACTCGGTCGTCGCCGCGCGAGAGTCGAGATTCCTTCTCTGGAAACTCGTATGTTCGTACGCGTATGGGTAAATCGAGAGACAAGGAGACATTTTTACATTTTGTAACGTTGTACATTTATACTTACCCACGGTGAAAGGATGTCGGAATCAAATGAAGAAGATTTCTCAAGGGATAAGATTACTCTTTCAATGTACAGCCCTTTCTAAAACTAGGAAAGTCTGTTTCCTACTAGTGTCTATATTTGCTTGTTGCTTCTTTTGTCACAAGCAACGACTGTTTTAAACAAACACATGCAATGTTTCGAACAGTAGAGTGGCGCAAAAAAAAAAAAAAAGAAAATAAAATAAAGGTAAATTTTTATTACCCGTTACTAAGGAACAAAAATATAACGTCGAATCGAAATCATTTACTATTCACTTATCAAGCAATATGATCGAACCAAAAATTTAATAAATAATTAGGCATAATTTTATCAACGGAATTTTCAAGTACTTATTTCATTCCTTCTTACATTTTGAACAAACGTTAAATGAAACAAAGTTATAAATTATTAGATTAGTATGTTAAAATGAAAAATATATTAAAATCGAAAGTTTGGATACCCCCATTTTCCAACGTCATGAAATAGAAATAATTCATACTTTATTGTATAAACTTTTCATTTGTTAACAGCCATTGAACATCTTTTTTGTTTTCTAGCTTTTAGGTAAGGATTTGTAACATTCAAAATTATAACTAGTGTCTGTTACTTAATATCCATTAACATTATATTTATCAACTGGTGGTTAATAAAATAATTTTTATACTAGATAAAACTATGTAATAACTATTATTTATTTCAATAGTATTTATGCGCCAATAATGAAAGATATTCGAAAACAATATGTAAGTCATTTAAATGCAATATATATAAATCTTATTATAAGTCAGTAATCATTTTTATTAAAGCGCTATTTAATTGCATTGCTTCTACTGTAATATTTCTGCTGCAAAAATACGATTATAATATTAATAATTTACGGTCTATTTAAAACTATCGATTGATATTGAAAATTACTGAATGTATTTCGATAAATTACAAGTAATTTTTTTTGAATAATCATTTATAATAAATTTAAAAAAAAATCAAAATTCTTTGATTTTTCTCACATACAAGAGATTTGATTTCTCTCATACAAAAGACCTTAACAACTGTTTAAAATTGATTATAAATCTTCAGGACAAATAAACTAGACTCTCTTTAAATATTTGTATTTTTAATGAATTATTATTTTATATTGCGAATAAATATTGCGATATGCTGGAAAAACTATCTATAAAACATAAGAATAATTTACAGTTTATTCTTAACTTAGTGTCTGCTTAAATTTGTTGTGTCACTCCTTAAAAGTAATATGATTAAAAAAAAACCTCGATTTATCCTTTGTAGAATAAAATTATGATGAAATACTAGTATTCACTGGGTAATTATAATTGAATTATTAAGCAGAAGATTTTATTTGATTGGCAAAATAAATTTACTTAACTTGCGCAATCATGATTAATTTTTCTTTATATCATAGACGAATAGCAATTTGTCATAATAAACAATTAGACAAATATATATCATAAATTTATATAATGATGATATGTATCAGAATTGATTAGCCTTACAGAAAAGTTTTAATCATTATAAATGTACGGAGAACATCGTTACGGAATATATTTTGCCCAATACAAGCTTTTATCATTTATCTGAATGTGATCAATATCATTTTAACACTAAATCGTATATAATCCATTATGTTATTTATATGTTTTTGACATTGATATATTTATTGAAAAAAATTAATACAATGTTATATCATTGATCCATTTATCCAGTTTTAAAATTTTGATAATATTTTCCCAATTGCAATATCGTTTATAGTTTCTGATTTTGGATTTGTACTACTATGTACTTATGTTTTTAAAATAATAAAAGTTTTTTACCTATATTAAACAAAATATACAATCGTGTAAACATTATCGATTTCCTGATAAAGCAAAATTTAACAAAAAATTTAAAGCAGGACATTAATTAACGTAAATAGAAATAATTTAAAATAATTCTTAGATAAACATTGATATATATTTTAAACATTCACATTAAAAATTAACTTATTAACATCTTATATAAAACTTATTGAAAAATAACTAATTAAAATTATCCCTTATATCAATGTTATTTATTTAAATTAATTATTCAAGCGTGTAATTAATTCTTATTTTATTAATATTTTTTAGATAAAAGAATGCTTTTTAAATGGCAAAAATAATTTTAAAATTATTTAATCATTGAAAATATTTATAATTGTCTTTACTTGTTATTCTAATTTATTCCTGAATAATTTATCGGTGATTTATATAATAATTACAGTCATTATCTTACCAAAGTAATTTATTTCAATGTATAATTAATATGATATAAGAGTTTTCATAAATTATTTACTTTTAATAAAAAAAAAAAAAAAAAAAAAAAAAAAAAAAAAAAAAAAAAAAAATATTAATAAGCTTTCAAATAAGTTAATAAAAATAGTAAAATGTAAATATAAAAATAAACAGTGCAATTTTGACAAATATATGCGTATATCGTTGGAAGCTTAATAAATTGTACACTATTTATTACCTTTTATGAAGTAATAATTTTTAATTTTTGTATCAATTGCTTTATTTTATTCTTTTTAAAATGTAATTTTTTAAGGAGATTTGTTGAAGAAACTTTTATAATACTGTTTGTGCTATAAAACTTGTTTGAAGTGCATTTAAAGTTTTAACAGTACTTAACTCCTTTCTCCTCCTCCCTATACACATATAGTAAAACATTATTGTATTGTTCAATCACCCAAGAAAATAACAATATCTATAATAAAATGAAAGTAAGCCTTTTTTCGTTTAGCTTTAAATTTTTTGCATCCTAGTGCAAAATCATTCTTATTGACAACACGAAGACAAATTATAAATCTTGAAAGAATCAACCAAATAACTATATTGAACTACTTTACTTGTGCTTGACATAGTATATAGTATCATAAAAGGACAATATCCTAGATTGGAGATTGTAGTGTTAAAAATGTGAGGTAAATTTAAGAATGGAAAAAAAAAAAAAAAAAAAAAAAAACTAGCGTATTTGAATAATATAAATAAACTAACGATGATAAATATATTTGCTTTTTATGTTGTGAGCAGTGAAAATAAATTGATTCTAGAATAGGGCATATGGAGCATCAAAGGTATTATTTATTGTATTGCCGAAATAATTGCTGACAATTACAATTCGTAAATCTTCTTAAGTTTGCGTAAGATCATTTGTATCTCTTTTGATAAATTAAACACTTCAAATTCCATTAAAAGCATTAAACTTTTACGACAAATTACCATTGTATTGTTAACATGGTAGATCTTGAGCAACTATTTCGTATGTGTCAATCGTCACTTTAATTAAATTAATATTTTTATTTAAAATATACTATATAATAATTCGTTAATTAAAAAATCTATATATAATATTTTATATAACATGTAAATTTGTATCTATGCTCTTTAATGTTTACGAAAGTCCGAGAATTAAATGACAAATTATTCTTTGATTCTATAATTAGGGCTAGAGAATTTGATCTATTAGTGTATAGTTGCATAAAAATTCATAATTAATCAAATGAATAATGAATTAATTACTCAATTGATTAAAATTAAAATTACAAGTTGTATATGAATCTGGTCATGCTCACATTATATAGAGATGCTCGAGTTAAAAACATTAAATTTTGATATTTAAGAAAATAATTATTTAAACAAGAGTTAAAAGTAATTTAGTAAATATACATAGAATTACCGAGTTAAGCACTTTATTAATACTTTATTTAACAAATTTGTTAATACAATAAATCGATATAATAAAATATAATACAACAATCATAATCATTTGATCTAATTATTCATCTTCATAATGTAATACCGTAAAGAATTTTTACATGTTTTGTTTTTTCATGCAACATAAAAGTCGAACATAATATATTGACATTTCGGAAACTGCTTTAATTAATAGCTTGTAATGATTTTTCTCACAATAATACTAATACAATACATAAAATCGTTAATACGAATTAGAAAAATTCTGTTCCAAGAAAGTGCTTGCTAATATCCTTATCTTACTTATATACAATGATCAAGGACGTTTTAGTTGAGGAAAAAAAAAATGATACGTGTATATGTCTATATGCATCTCATGGTTTCGACAAAAATTCGCAGAATTCAGTTCAGTCAAAGACAGGTGTAACATGTAAAATTGGTTTGCAAGACATCTAACGACAACGTCATCCAGTCAATTAATAATTTCTGACTGCCTCACTACGTACGGCGTCTTAATATATTTGACTTTTGCGTGCATGTTTAATGACATGGCATTATTAAAGCCTTTATACATAACATTTTGTAACTGTACTAGCATAACCGTAAAATTAAATTACGTACCAAATGTGACTCAACTCAACCACTTCTATATTAATGGTATCGAATTTTTTTTTCTTCTCAATTTATAAAGAATCTTAATCTAATTGATTTTACATTTTAAAAGATAATTATCATTTTTTTTTTTTTTTTAATACATTTAATTTAGGATTTCTAGCAAGATATAAAACATACGTAATGTAAATGGTATATAATGGTACACTTTTAATAAGTATCATGAAATCTAGTAGCTGTTAGCTTTAATTAATATCATATATATATATACATATATTTTATTTATTTTTTGTTTTTTAAATAGACTTTCATATTGTATATCCGAAATTAGTAGGAAATCTTTGGGTTTATACGGTTATATAAAAATAATGCATAAATTTCAAACCAGAAATCCATTACCTTTTTAATAAAACATAAAGTATCTATTAAATAAAATATTTTATAAATCTTCCATTTTTATCTTAAATAATATATAAATTTATAACGATATATGATTTATAACAATAGGTTTATTTGTTATTAAAGGTAAGAGGTATCTCGGTAATTGTAATCGTTTAAAGTATGTTTTATAAAATTTTCGTGTTTTATAATTTTTATAATAATTTTCTTTAGAACAAACACATTTTTTTGTAGATGTTCCCGTTTTTAGATATATATATATATATATATATATATAGCGTTTTAATTTATTAAATAAAGGAAAATAAATAAAAGATTTAACTACAACTTTAGTTTGTATTAGTACATATTAGTAAAATAAAAATAAACAATGTTATTTCGTTTCGAATCTTTGTGCGTTAAAATGATGTTATAAAACATTGCTGAAGAGTGTAATTAAACAAAGGATATTAAATTGCATAAAATACAAGAAAAAATTGTTTTTATGTTATAGGTTGAAAACGAATGCGGAGAAATACCGACAGTTTTAGTTCAAAACAAAATGGATTTAGTCGATCAGTGCGTTATCGATCCGTAAGTAATATTTTTTTTTCTAAAATTTGTTTCAAACCTTGCGTCAGTAAAACTATCAACGATAAATTTTGAAAAGGACTTGCAATAAATAGTGGAAAACTTTTGTTAAATTTGGCATAATGTAATTATTACTTGTTTATTGTAGTAACGATATCTTACGAAAATTTTAGCATACTAATGATTTTTTAATAGCGTGGAATTTACTATATTAAACAAGACGATTGTTGAGAAATACGGTTGCGTTTTCCAAAAAATTAGTATCGTTCCGTAATTAAACATTCGCTTGTAATACGTATTATTGACAAATTGACAAATACAAATTTTTATTAATTAAAGGCGCTTAGTCATGCATGCTCAATCCATTATGTAAAATTATATCTTATTATTTTCTTTTTATTAGCAGTCCAACATATTTGTAATACACAATAATATCAGATTATAATTCCACACAAATATACAAAATCAACAAAATTTATGACTTTCAATTAAATTCATTCTCTACTGCATTATTCACTTCCATCGAAATAAGTGGGAAAGCAATCAATTTCCCGAGAGTAAATCTCATTACGCGGTGATATTAACATTTTGCACAAAAAGTTAGAAAGTCATACGAGTGAGTTGTGAGCGAGTCCCAGTTTCCAAATAGCTACGAATAATAATAATAATAAAAATAAAAAAAAAAAAAAAAAAAAAAAAAAAAAAAAAAAAAAAAAAAAAAAAAACGTATTCGAACAGTGACGAGGCGGAAAGACTTGGCCGAGCACTCGGCTGTAAACTTCTTCGTACTTCCGTTAAAGAGGATGTCGGCGTAATGAGCGTTTTTCGGCACCTGGCCTCCCGGTGCCTCTACGAGATGCGTCGCTTCGAGGAGGAGGACGACTTCAGGTTCTACTCGTCTGGGCCGCGGTCGCCTTCCGTCATAAGTAAGTAAGAACGTAGACGCGCCTACGCATTTTTAAAATAACTTTGCAATGTTCACTTGTTGGTTTAGTGGGTGTAATGTGCGCCATTACCAAGTACAATTTCTTATAACTAGAGTAATTAAAATAAGGATTCATAAGGATAGGGATAAAACTAATTGTAAAGATGAAATGCGAGATTATGCGAGATTATGGAATATCATTTTTGGCTTTCAGCTGTAGAGTATAAAGTACATGGGTTGTTATGAAATTAGTTTAAAAATTATTAGAAAATGATACATTCATGGACATTAGTGAATAACATTTACCAACGTTACTCCAACCTTCCTTAAGATTACTTTAATACAAGATTATCACTTTTGAAATTAATTTTTCTCTAATAGTTAGTAAAGCGTTATTGAATTTTATGACTCTACGATTGTCTATAATTGTCATTACTCGTATGCTCTCAATTGCCAATTTATTTCCATGTTTTAATCTTTTCTGTACTCTAAATTTACTAATTATTACGTGAAAGATAAATTCTTTTTTCTAAGCTTCGTACTTTTTGCTGTTGTTGTTGTTGTTTTTTTTTTTTTTTTTTTTTTTTTTTTTTTTTTTTTTTTTTTTTTTAACAGTAAATTAAATTATAAATTTGTAATCTGAATTCTTCGTTATTCAATGATTCATTTATTATTATTTTATTTTTCATTTATCGTTCAACCCTTTTCCCTGTCATTGCTTTTACATCTACTTTGTATCAATACTATTGAAATTTTTTATTTTCTAGTTATTATCGTTATACAAGTCAATATTGTTTGTTTATAGAAATTACCAGGCACGTAATACTTTTAAATTTGCTCATTTATTATATCTACTCGTTTTATACTGACTAATCCTCGCTTCTAGATGTTCATCATTATATCGTAAGTGTATGAATTATAGAAATTTAATTATAATTTGCATATTCATTGAATTCAATAATGCAAGCGTATGTATGCTGAACTGATTAGGCCTTTCTATAAAAATCAACAAATGGCTATTAAAAGCTTCAAAGCTGTCAAAATTTTTAAAGAATATTTTTTATTTTACGCAATAACATTTAAAAAAAATTACTTTATTGCAAAGATATTTTAGTATATTTATTTTTTCATTCGCCAATTTATATGCATTGATTATGTATAAACCAGGCGGTAATCGTATTACGATCCAAACGAATGAGATGGCCAGAATTATTTGTACAAGGTACGAAATATAAATTGTTATTATAAAGTTATAAAGAACTTTATAGTTGACAAATTAACGTAACCAAGTGGGAATACGAAGCTTGCCGGACCAAAAAATGTGCCGTAAACGCAGCCACAAGTACAATTAAGGTTTAAATTAAACTGTGGTTGGAACGAGAACGCCCGAAGGAATGGAACCAAATATATGGTTGGCAGCAAACGAGGGCGTTTATGGACGTTACTCTGGGCAAAAAGTGGATCTCAGGAATACCGGGAATGAAAGGACATTTTAACTGGCTACGGTTAAGAGAAAATACGAAACATCCTATCGCAAACTGGGCTATTGACTTTACTTAATGACATAAGATCTGCAACATTGTGGAACAAAGTGACCCGAGTTAAAAGAATATTGCTATTATAAGCATTCGGTAGGTTATTAGGACTAAATTAAATAATGTTAATGTAAGTAAACGTTCGATCTAATCATACGTATTTGAAGGTTTTCAAGTTATAATTTCCCAAAGTGCAAATCATTATCAAAACACAAATATTTTATAATAGCACGTGGAATATTTGATAAGATGCAATTTTGTATAATAGTACTATATTTCATTAAATGACTAAAAGTCATAGAATTTCATTATTTTTATAATAAAATAAATTTAAACCATCGTAAAAGAATATGATTTTTTTATATCATATGTATTACTTACTTAATGAATCTCTTTCTTTATTCAAACTACGCTACACACACACACACACACACATATATATATATATAAAAATGGATAATCTAGAATAAAACGTAATGACTTTACGTTGTCGCAACCGTTACAATTTTTTATATATATACGTTCTTCTACATTGCGAACAGGTTTTACTGGAATTAAGTTCATGATTATCTTAACTTTTCAAAGCTTATTAATACAGTTGCGTAGAGACCGTTTTTCCATTTCATTTACTTTAAACGTTTTTTTGATACTTATTTTTATAATAAATGGATATTTTTCAAAAGCTTCTAATTAAAATGTTAAAATGTTAACTGTAAAAGTATTTATAGTGATAATTATGATTGTTTTTTTTTTTTTTTTTAATATTTTTTGAAAATTGAAATTGTAATAGTTGTAAACATCGTTTCCAGTAGTTGGCAATTTCTTTTCTCTTTCTTTTTTTTCATTTTAACAAGCCATGGTATATATTTATCTTTTAAATGACAGTCCATTCTAGTAATTAATGTCTAACATAATCTAGACAATTATTACACGTGATTATAGACATACCAAAGTCGAAGTAGTATATTAATTGGTATTTTCGCATTAGGGTAAATAAATTTGACTTCGCTTAATTATTTCATTTCATGCCTTTGGATTGAATTATTTGCAAAAAAAAAAAAAAAAAAGAATTTTTAAAAAAATATATAGAATTTGAGTCTCCTATACAATTGTGCTTATTTCATATTCTAGAAATTATCGTTTTACCAATGATTATTAATATCAGCTAATAATTAGACGTGAAAGATGTAACAAATTGAAGATTGAAGTATAAAAGTATAAAGTGTAAAGTCTCGGAAGATGAATAACGTAAGCTTAAAAGTTACAGACTGAATACTTTATTTTAAAATGATTAAAAAGAAAATGAAAAATGATAAAATCTTAATCTTTTTAAATAACAAAATCTAAATACTTGATTTGTTATTAAGAATTCTTTAGCATTTTTCTTATATATACATTGATAGAGCGAAAATATTAGCAAATATAAAACACTTCCTATTCTTATAAATCATACAAACACAAATGTAACAATCGCAATTGAATTAATATTTTACATGAAATTGTTTTCTCATGAAGTATTTATGCAGACACGTGTAATAATAATTAACACATTATTAATGTAAATAAATTCTGCTTCAATGATTTTACCTTCGACTAGCTTTAATCAATATGTAGCACTATAACGTTAAATTGATCATACATTCACTTATACTGAGAGTATATAAAAATTCGTCGCGTAGTAGAATTACAAACACAGCTAAAGCATTGAGCTGGTGAATTTACTAATTGATAAACTTTATTTTTTTTTTTTTTTTTTTTTTCATTTAAATTCCAGATAAAATAGCTCTTCTCGATGTACTTCAATTAAAATTTTATACCTTTAAAGGATGAGAGTTTAGTTATTGTACAGTGAGTTTTTCAACTGGTCACGCGATCTCGGAGTTTCTAGACGCGCGCCACAATGGTTTTCAGCTTTTTATTATCAGATTGGGGTGGATTTCTTAAGTCTCGAGGGCAAATCTGGGCCATCGCGATTGTAAAGTCGCAGCTCGCTACTGACCACCTGCTGTTATCTCATTTTATACACTTCCATCCCACCTCTTCCACCTCCTCTTTATCGCCATGATCACAATAAATGGAAGTCGGACGCATATATTAAGTATACTAATTTAAATACATTACCAAAAGTCCTTATCGACATGAAAATCAAAACACGTCAATTGATTATTATTTTTATATTCTAAAGCCTTTTTCTACTTCGTATTCTTATCTTAATAATCATAAATATTTCGTTTATTAATATTAATAGTAGAGCCATTATTTAGTCTATTGGTTACCAAAGATTCATTATTAAAAAGGAAGATATATGTTGAACAGTTGAAGAGGAAATTTTCGAAAATGTTATTGATCAATCGAACAAAACATGAACCTTTTGATATAAAACGTTATATATTTATTAAGACAATATTTTTCTTATATTTAAAAAATAATGCTATAGAAGTATAAATTCGCAAAGGATCTCGTTAATATTAGATAATTTGAAATTTGTATTATACTTTTTAAAATAATACACACACATGCGCGCTATACTATATATGTATTTTATATTAATTATTTAATTATAATCCAAGATATTAAAATTCTACAACTACCAATAGCTTAAGCACAAACTGTTTTATAAAATTCTTTCGTATTCTTATTTTATTTTATTATTATAGCGTTTAATTTTTATATCTAATAAATTAATCAATTGGGAGTTTTTATTTCTTAAATAGTCTACATTAACATATGAATATCAATGGGATAACATTATTGCTTATAGAGTGCTTTATACTAAATATGCTAGTTAAATTGCAGTAATAAAACGTATTTATATTATAACGGATTTCGAACACTCACTATTCATAAGTTCAAATTCATAAATGTTATTGGCACTTTGTTCTTTATATTTTCCATTATAAATGAAACTTTACATCAACTAATAAATTTACATGATATTTAACTTGAATATTGAATATTTCTACAATCTTCTTTTTAAAAACTCAATTCGATACTTCTCTTAGGAGAAACTTTTATAAATAAATATAAATCACTTTTATATTTCAAGGTGAATATATCACGTGTCACTTTAAACACAAACTGACTCTTATATATTATATGTAAATAACTTTCTTAATTGTAATATTGATAAAAAAAAATTTTTTTATTTATTGATTTTAATGTAAATGCAATATAAAAGAAGGACGGAGTGCTGCTGCTATTTCTACAATTTATCTCTTAATTCAACAATTTTATGTACTCTTTTTATTATGCAAAATAGATTTATCACAAAATAGATATATATATATATATATATATATATTTTTTTTTTTCTATTTAAAGATTGCGATAAAAGTTATTAATGATATTAGTAATTTAAATATCAAATTTGATTATAAAGTGAAATATTAATACTCATCTTTATTTATTAACTTTTTAATGTAAGAACTTAGATAATGAAATAATTACAGTTATCGATGGTAATGAAAAGTAGAAAGAATACAACAATAATTTGAATTGTTTTATTAATAGTTTTATAAATATAATTTAATTCAATGACATATATAGGCATATATATATATATTTTTTTTTATATATATTATAATATAAATTATATATCATATATACCTTTTTGGTTTTGAATTCAATTAATCGCATTTAAATGACAGTAACATTATGTATGGAATTGATTTTAAAAAATTACTGTTGATTAAAAAAAAAAAAAAAACGATCACTCTCGTTGAAAGCTTTAAAATACTGAAACTTCGATATAATAAAGTATGGTAAAGAATTGTAAAGTATAATTTGGATATAAATGTTATCGATGCTTTTATTTTCGGTTTTACAAACTTTAGCAAATTATAGGCTACGTGCCGAATTTCCATAATATAGTTTAGACAATATTATTATTATTATTATTATTATTTATTTTTTTTTTAATTACATAAGGTCCACAAATACGTCCATAATACTAAAAATATCCCAAAACATCGACTGTAATTCAATAATATTTAAAAATTAAAAATCACCATTTTAGTTAGTAATTGTTTGTTTGGTTAATTATCATTATTGGATTTTGATTATTTCAAGCTATTTTTACGCCCAATAATAAACAAAAATTGGTTTTTTTCACAACATAAACATGTAAAAGGCTATTAAACAATAAATTGTAAATTGTAAATATTAAAATAAATGGAAATAAAAATCATAATATCGTAATGTAGTGGCTCGATAATGCATTGACATTTTTGTGTTTTCAGGTGCCTTTAGCCCAAATGGATCTTCCGTGAATCGCAACACGAGCAACGGAACCATAGTTTTACGGGCGACCGGCAAGATGCGCCATCACAAAAAGAGAAATTTCGTGAAGAACGCCTGCCGATTACTATAAACCAATTAGGAGTGAAAGTTGCCTAAGACAATTTAATTTAACTTTTTCGTTTTGTATTCTTATGCGTGAATATGTGTGTTAATATTGACCAATCGTTTCGCTATTGCACTTACTCATTAGCTCATTTGTTTATATGATCCCTTCAAATGGCGTAAAAGCTAATTAAATTCATAATGTGAAAATTGTAATCCTTAATCAATCCAAATTTAACTTACATTTTTAATCACTTTAGCATACATTAATGCTCCATACAATTGTCATCGTATAGAATTCGTAAAAAAGAGAAATTTAGTGTTAGTTCCATGAATTTTTTTAAGCTCAGTCAATTTTCTAAATAATTTATTAAATAAGTTGATGAAAACATTTACTTAGTATATTTTTTAAATGTGTATATATGTAAATAATTTTGTTATAGGACTAACAAAGCAAAAATTTTTTAAAATAATTTTTTACACAGTGATTACTTTTTTTACTAGGTCGGTATGATTGTGATTGGGTACTGCTCATTGTTCATATAATCAACAAATTACGATTAATAATGTTTGTGCGAACGTGAATGTTTGCTAGAATACTTTGTGTTCGATAACACGAGCGCTATTATTAACCAAATATATTAGTTATTGCAAAATCAGTTTTAATAGTTTGATTGACAATGAGATTTCTTTCACCGTAAACATCTAAATAATACGGAAAAATTGTATTTATTTTATTATTATTATTATTATTTTTTTTTTTTAATAAAAGAATTTTTATAATTGCTGTTTTGTTTATTATATTTATATTTACGGAATAAGTTACTTTTAAGATATGTTATGTTCTTTATAAGTCCTGTTATAAATACCGAAAGTAGTAGTACTTACTTCAAAGCAAAATCTAAGTCAATTTTGATTCGAAATTTAAGTAGATAAAATTAAGGGGGGGGGGGAATTTATATAATTACATGTTTTTAATTCTCGATGTACATTTTTCTTGTCATATTCTATAATGAAACATGTAAGATATGTATTAATTTTGCGTTGACGCACATTAAATAATTATAAATTATAATGGCTTTTAAGCTGTGAAAGAATAAATGTTTTTTGTGCTTTCTCACTATCGTTAAGTTGATTGTCATTTTTTTGGTGAGTATTGAAATAAAAAATTTATTTATTTTAAAAAATTAGAATTTATTTCGTAACATAGAGTTTATAATATTAAAAACAACAATAACAGTTACAAGGATACAGATTCGATATTTGGATTTTCGTTACACACTGTTTGAAAAATAAGTTCCTTAATATTTTACTATTATTTAATAATTATTAACAAATTATTTTAAAGCACAATAGGACCTTAATTGAAACACGTATTCAAGTTTATGCAAATTAAATCTCGGTAAAAATATCGATTTAAATTTTATAATAGGCGATACGTTCAAAGTAAAATGAAAATTATTACAAATTTTTATACTTTCATATCAGTATGAGTTGAATCACATTATATTAGCACATCAACATTTTAGTTCAAATTCATTATTTTTTCTTAATTGCAAAGCATACATGATAATTATCTACAATGATATTTATAATTGTATAGTAAATTCGATCGAGTTTAAAAACATTATTTTCATTGTAAAATTGCTCACAATGAAAAAAAAAAAAAAAAAAGATAATAACCGAACAACTATGACGTTCTTAAACGTAAACCGAATGTATTAAAGACATATTGTTGTAATAAAAGTTAAATGGATAAATTTTTTTTGTACCAATTATATGATTAAAACTGTTGGATTATTTAATATTTTCCACAGTAAAAACAAATCTTCAATTAATGTTCAAAAAACGCTATACTTCTTAATATCAATGTAAATTTTAATTATAAAAATTCACTAATACGTCTAGAAGTTCATAATTGTATCGTTCTTTTAATTACCGAACATTTGGCTTATAAGTCTATTGTCCAATTCAGAATTCTTTTCATTTATTAACGGATGAGAGCAAAACTAGCCTCTAAATTCTTTTATGTCAATTTTTTCAGGAGATGCAATTAGTTAAAAAAAAAAAAAAAAAAAAAAAAAAAAAAAAAATAGACATGTTGCGACAAGATAAGTGTAATTAAAGTAATTATTACTTGTTAGATTATAAAATAAAGCTGTATATTTATGAATTACAAATCAAATTTCTTTCGTACAACATTTATGGAAGGTGACAATTATTTTCATTGGTATTAAAATAGTGTTGCTTATACATCTACTAGAAATTGTACACATTTTTATGTTATTGTGTCGATGATGCTATATAGTTGTATTAGAAGTTTTATGATTCTTAATAATACCAAGTTAATGAAATAGACACTGGACATGACAATCTCACCAGAAAATGGTAGACTGACCAGCAGCCTTAAAACCCTACAATTTTTTAAGAATAAAACTTTCTACACATCCATATTAGTTTTAATTATTGAGAATGTAATTATTATGCACCTAACAAATTATTTATCATTTTTGTAATTTTTTCACAATAATCAATTACAAATTTGACAAAATAATTAAGTATAAAAACTTATGCATTAGTTACGTTCCTTTACGATTTATAAATGTTAAATGAACATAGGTACAATACAGATGTAAAATTTTGATTATTAAAGTATAATTGCATCGTTTAAGTTACTTAAATAATTTTTATTAAAATGAATAATTGCCAACACAAAATTTAAAAATTTTCCCGACTAAATAATTGAATTATAATATAATTTTTTTTATTAAAACAATTAATCAGTGACATATTACAGAGGAATGTACTTATGTAGACATTTCAGATTATACGATTTAAATTGATGATATAGTTTTATCTATTTAACCAGCGCTTATGTTCAACAATTTCTTTAAGTATTATGTATTATATTAACAATTTCGTATATTAATAATTTGAAATTTCAACGTACATTTTCAAAGCAACGTGAATACTTTGTTTCATCGTAAGACAACAAACCTTAATTCATTTACTCATGTTTATTTATTCAATTATTTATTCATATAAATTAATGTATTGATAAATATTTGAGCAAAGTATTAGATACAAGTGCTATTAAAATAAAAAACTTTATAATGAACACGTTTCAAACTGTTTTACTCAAGATTTATCAACATTTTATCTCAGGATAAAATTTCTGTAGTATTTATACTATAGCTTGAATAAAGTATATATGCTTATCCAAAATGTAAAGTTCAAGTCTTTTTCTCAAACTAATTATACTCTATTCCAACGTAATAGTGTGTGCTTTATCTATGTAATCCAATAATCCCTGTAATCTTTTTTTAATTTTTTTTTGATCGTCAAGAGTGCATCCTAATATAGCTGTTTCAAAAGTTTTATCGGAGTGTCCACTAGATTGCGACGAACACGCGTTCATAAAGTAAGCGCATCGTTGCCTCGTTCCGCTAGGATCATTACGTAGGTTAATAACCAAACTGTCTATAAGTCCGTTAACCTATGCACAAAAATAAATTGTTACCATTAATGTTTAATTTAAATCTGAATTATATTTGGCATATACTTGATATTATGTGATATAATGTCATAAAGCTCTTGAAGCAAAAACTTCTTTCAGACGTCAAAGTTATCAGAAAAGTAAAGGTAAGATGACAATATATCAATAACGTTGAAGTATATAGAACAATATTATAGCATATGTATATTAATATGTACCTGATGCAAAGCATCCTGCTGTATATCATCACGATGGATTTTTACAAGAACATCAACGGTTAAACATCTTCTAGACAGCCTTTCTGCGTATCTTAAAACATCGTCTCTATCAGCTATAAAATAGAAACTATATATACATATATATAACTATATAAGATGTTGCTTTTATATTTTTATTAGTTAAATAAAAAAGTAAATAAACGATAGCCAAATCGATGTGTTTATTGACTCATAATTGTTTCATTAATACATAATATTACATAGTGATGTTAAAAAATTATATCATGCATCACGCTGTTATAGTCATCTTTTTTTTAAACAGCTGACAGTAAATTTGAAGAAATATTTATATAACTATTATATACTTGAAACATTATGTAAATAGATGAATTGAACTATACTCGATGTTTTGGCAAGGCTGGTTTATAATAATATTAATAAAATCTAGGATATTAAATATGAAATTAGTTAGTAAGTCGAGTCAGTTTTAATATTTTATCTATTTAATGTTGTCAATTACTATAAGCCAGAAACTCCTTGTCATAATATTGGAAAAATCAATATTACTGAAAATGTAGGTCAATCTGTTTTTCATACATAATATTGGATGTTGAAATTGTAAAGGTTTATTCTTGAATTTTATGATTCGAAAGCAATACAAAATTTAATTCACTTATTATAATGTTAAGGAATAAATGAAAAATTATGCATAATGTTAATAAAGTTGGATTCTTGGGTCTATTCAATGGCCAACTTATGGCTCGACTTATTATTCAAGCTCGATCGCTGGACACATTGCACATTATAATATCTGTAAACCTTAGGACGTAGAAAGATATTAATGGGCACCGTTGGGTAGATTTGATGACAAAAATGCTATATTCATAGAGAGCAGATGACAACTATTCGACGTAATCCTGATCACAACAGAGTTCTATCATAACAGAAAAATATTTCGAATGAGGTTATAATATGGAAGATTCGCGAAAAGACGGGAGAGAACATTAACACACGACGGTAATTTATTTCGCGCGTGGGTGTCTTACAAATCACGGACTGTGTGACAAAGGTGATTTTGTCTCGTGCCTCTAAGATTAGAGAATGCGAGCAAAGAAGCGCGAACTCTTTCCGAATTGTATGCTCGCTTTATGATTATCCCGACGTCAACTACTGACACATTAATCCAATAACCTACGGACACATCTCTAAGGCGCATTACTACACAATAGCAAGAAGCTTAAATATCTTTATATTGGAAAAATGGTAGCATTCACAGTTCTGCAATCCGACAATCCGGCGTAGATTTCTTTATCTTTCTCGCGCCCTACCATGACAATTTAAATCGAAACTGTGGGGCAACGAAATTTTCCGCTAATCTAACGTGTCGCGTAGTGCGATATACTCTTACGGGCCACTTCATTTCATCATTAATACGCTGTCACTTTAGGTAGATAAATTAATTGGCTCTCAATGTGCTCCGATTAATGTTAAAAAAAGGTCGGCGGATGTAAGCGAGTAACGAACGCACGCAGTCTTATTCTCACGTAGGTAAAGTACAAAGTCGCGGCTCGCTCTACCCCATCGCTCATGGGCACTACATAATAATCACTATAATACTTAGCATCTGGCGGTCAATCCCATGATTCAGATTATTCCATAAATAGGCAATTTGTTTGGCGTGCAGTTAGGTAGGGGCCGCGAAAACAGGGGCCGCCAAAAAAAAAAAAAAAAAAAAAAAAAAAAAAAAAAAAAAAAAAAAAAAAAAAAACGATCAAACTTACTGTCCTCGAGATTCACGACCGCGTCGTTATTACGCAGCGTATCGAGGGTTGTCAGCAAAGTGTCCTTTTCCTCCTCGATCCTCAGCGCATCCTTGCGCAGCTGTTCAACGTGCATTTCGATGCGATCGAGAATGGTAACGAGCCTATCCTTGGGCTTGCCACCCAGGTCGTCCATGCTTTCCATAATATGCGGTAGCGGGCTGCCCATTGTGGCTAAGCCCGCCTTAACCTCTACTTTCTGTTGGTCCGTAATTTTGACGGCTTCCCTCGTCCAATGTCACCAAACTAATAAGGATTTGCTTCGCCTTGTCTCGCCTTGTCTCGCGCCGCGCCACACTTCGCCCCGCCTCGCCTCGTCGCTCCTCGTTACGCCACTCCCCTCGCAGTCAACAGCTCGACTATCTCGCTTTCGCCTATTAAATGCGCTTCGCAAGGACCGAACCCACTCGACGATAATGGCTATCCCCGGAATAATAAACGACGACGACGACTTTTGCCGGCTTCCGTCTGACGCGTGCGACGGTCAGGGTAAGCCGCTGCTCGGCCAACACAGCCCCTACCGATCAGCACGATCTGTCTCGTGTTCGACACTACTGCCTCTCGTACGGCCTCGTCCAACCTCGGCCAACCGCCTTAAACTCCGTGCGCCCGGGCGTCTTATCGACGATTGCCGCCGAATACGCGAATGCGACGTTATCCTGAGTTAAGCTCTCGCAGGATTACATACGATTGAGCTTCTCGTGCGTGACTGCGGTTGGTTGGGTGGTTGATTGGAGGGGGTGGGGGGGGGGGGAGGAAGCGGGACTGACTACGAGGTAACGTCACTGGAAAGTGGGAACGTCATGGAACGCTAGAATCGCCTCGAGTCCAGGCGGCTCGTCCTCGTTCCCCTTGTGCGCGCGCAAGTAGTAGTGACTATTTGGTAATGGAGCGGCGGGAACCGGCAAGTCGTGCGACCTCTCGTGCCATGAAGGTACGTGGTGGTGAGTCGGTCGCGGGAGGTAGCGGATGATTACTCGAGCCTACGAGAATCCTTAAGTTTCGACCTTAAGATCTCGACGAACTTTACGTTTATTAGGCCGTTAGTTCGCTGTCGAGAAAACGGCAAAAAGCCTTATAATTCGTTTGAAGAGTCATCGCTACAGGAGAAAGTGTAGTGTTCGTAATTTGAGGTCAGAGCTTAATTGAGTATTCCAGTCTCGTTGGCTGGGAAGGTGGGAAGCACCTCGTATTTCGTCCGGATCTCGAGATCCCTGGCAGACCAGTTTAACGTGAAAGGAGCATGCGCGTGTGGTTGGCCTTCGGAGAAGCGTGGAGATATGGTTTGCCGGGGATATTGGACGAATTTTGATTAGTTGTGTTATTCTTTCTGTTGTGATTGTGTTTGTGGTTGTGGCTGTGGTGCTAACGATGGTGATGGTTGCGGTGGTTGTTGTTGTTGCTGCTGCTGCTGCTGCTGCTATTGCTGCTGTTGCTGGGTTATAGGATTCGAATAGTTAGTTATAAATATCGAATGTAATTGTTTGGCAATTTGTTAGTGGTTTTACAATTGAGGTTGGTCGGTTGGGGTGTGTGGAACGGTTGGATTCCGACATCATCACCGAAATAATAGGACCACGACGACGACGACGACGACGACGACGAGGATTCATACACGTCATTATTATTATTGATTAATTTTTAAAAATAAATAGTTCGCGAACGTATAATATTGATTGATTTGGAACTGATTTTAATGTCATCGCGATCGAGTGAAATGAGCGTCGAGCAATTAATTGAATAATTTGACAAATGTTTTTTACGGCAATTGCTTATTAATATAATTTATTTCAAGTCCTAGTGAAAGGTCGAAAGAGAAATGGAAAATTTAAAAATGCCTTCCGCATTTGATGTGGAAAATGTAAATATAGCTCCAGTCTTTGATATGAAAAGTGTTAAGGACATGGAGGGTAATAATTTTAGTAAAAAGACACATTTCAATGAACGATTAACTTTCTATAAGAAACAAATTAAAAAAAATAATCATAGACTTGACATTGATTTTGTTGATACACCGCAAGAAATAAGACGACAGCAAATGTTGGATTATCAAAAACAGTAAGCAATATTAATTTTGTAGATCAGTCCTGATCCTCTTAGCGATATTCTAATATCCTACTAACCAATATTTATATTAATACCACATATTGTCGTTTGTGTATTTTAGAAATCGATACAAGTGTCTGAATGAAAGCAGAGGCCTACTGGATGTTATCTTTAATTTAAACGTAGAGAAGAAAATGGAGGTGGAGGAAGTGCCAAAATCAAAGTGTAAACCGCACAAAGAGTACAAAAATTTACTTATGCTATCGGAATGGATGTTGGAAGTACCGCAAGATTTTACCGAAAACTGGATAATGGTACCTTGCCCATTGGGAAAGCGAGTGATGATCATTGCTTCCAGGGTAAGAAACGATAGGATCTACTTGGCTATTTTGAAACACCGATGTGTTAATTAATCACAACGGTCGGGTATTTTTAAGCTCAAAATCCATAATTCCGTATGTTAATTTTTTATTTCAAACTTTTCCTTCTCGATTTGCCTATTCATTTAAACGAAAAAATTCTTTTAAAAGTAAAAAAGAAAAACTAACGTACACACGCATACAGAATTAATTATTATACGATAATTCTAGGGTATAACAAAAATGTATACTAGAAGAGGTTTTCAACTTTCTGTATGTAGAACAGCACTGCCTGGTGGAAGTAAACAAACTTACGACAATGACTATGTATTATTAGACGGTATTTGGCTCGAGAATAAAAAGATATGTTACGTATTAGATGTACTTGTATGGTCGAAGCAAGATATGATCAATTGCGAGGTAAATTTCCTGGCTATTTTTTTGCCTTTCGTGCCCTATATTATCCACCCGCTTTATTTTAATAATTTGAAAATTTTCAGTGTCAATTCAGATTCTTTTGGCTAAACTCGCAATTAAAAGAGATAGAACAGTTAAAGGAACAAATAGCTGGAGTTAACGATTACAAAATTTTAACCCTACCAAATATAGCTTGTGATAATAATTTTTATGATTGCTTAGAAAGCATTTCGACGACCATCGCATTAGATGGACTATTATTTTACCATAGAAGGGGACATTATATAAGAGGGGTAACGCCGCTTGTTAATTGGTTGAAGACGTACATGTTACCAGAAATATTGGGAATGAATGTTCCAGAACCATACGATGAGAAACCAAGTACTTACATTAATTTTGAGCATCATGTACAGAAAATAACGAGCTTGAATAAGGCGAAGAAAGAAAAGTTACAGAAAAACAAAAAACAGTGAGTTTGTATTTATAAATTTGCATGCTTTTGCGTATTTTATTATTTCTATTTACAGTATTAAAATAGTACACGTAATTCTAATATTTTACATATCTTTCAGATTACAATGTGAACAAATTGAAGAAGATATGAACTAAATTTTAACCATATTTTAACATAAAAACCGTAAAAAGTAAAATATTTTAATTATTAACAAAGTTTGAAATTTAATTTATAATTGATTATTTGTTAGATCTTACTGTAAAATATATTTATTAATAAATATAATTATTTCGAAGTACTGAATTGCGTTGTATTTATGTATAATGCGTCCATCGCCTTCTCATTCAAATATGTTAAAACAGTGTTCATGGCGTTAACACTTGTTACTTTCATCTGAAATTAAATTAAAGTAAAATATCAAATGAAAGTTCATATATATTATCTAGTATATCGTTGATAATAAAGTAGAGCCAATACCTTGTTTGCCGATATCGTTATGGAAGGAAGAATAATTTTGTTCAGCAGACAAAGTTCTAATTGCAAACCAGTAATTTCCCTTGCTTGGCTATGAAGAATTTCGTGAAATTTTTCAACTTCTTCGCCCAATATCTTGTCTTGTTTTCCCCAAAGGCTAATGTACAAAACACGCCATTATAATTTTTGATATAAAAGTATTTGCTTTGTTTTATCATTCTATCGTAAATAAATGCTCAAATTAATAAAAAAAAAAAAAAAATATATAATTTTAAACGCACATGTATTTTAATATTTCATTTATGTTTCATAATAAAATTAATTATTAAAATAGTTTTTTTTTTTTTTTTTTACGCACTACAGTTTAACAATCTCTTAATATTACATAGTTATGAATTTCTAATAATCGAGGTATGAATTGTTAACAATTAAAATCTTAAAAAATATATAATTTCTATGCATTATAAAGTTCTCATAGTTAAAAATAAGAAAAGCTGAAATACCGAAAATTCTAATTATATTTTGCATTTTATATTAAATAAAAATGTCTGCATTTGGCTACATAAATTAGCACATAAAACAAAGTATCAAGGGAAGTTTAAAAGAAGAGACGTAAAAAATTTTACTTCAAAGCTTCAATTTTATGAATTTATTAATGGTTAATGGTTATATATATAATAAAACTTGAAAGTCACTAAACGTTATTTGAACCTTTAATGAAAAGCTTTAATTTGATGATGCGGTTAACATAGAAATATTTTAGATAATACGAGAGCATATTTAGACACATTTACATTATAAAAAATTCGGGCACTAATAGAATTAACAAAATTAAAAGAACCCGATGATTATTTTATTTTCAATTTTAAAAGACATTATAGGATACACACGCACGCACGCACGCACGCACGCACGCACGCACGCGCGCACACACACACACACACACACACCCCTGCCCCCTTCCCTTGTCATACCACGCCGCGCTCCCAAGACCCCCTTTTAATGGATAAAACGGTACCGTAATACCAGACAATAATCTAACCTTCTCCATAGTTGTATAAGTTTTTTTATGTGAAATTTGACGGTGATGCTGTTGGAGGTCGGGAGATACGGAACCAAGTATTCGAGCATCGCCTCCGTCTCGCTATCGGCTTTGTATTCCTCTTCGGTCGCTCTGATGAGGATCGGCAGGAGCCACTTGAGATCTTCCTCGTTGGTCGGTAGTGCGACAAATAGGCAATCGAACATGTGCCCCAGGATCGAGTGTACGGCTCGCATTGTGTTCGCGGTACCGCGACACAGCAGCAGAGGAAGCTTCCCCGTGTTGTCACTCGGCTCGCACGTCGTCCCCGAGCGCCAGGAGAAAAAATATCCCTCGTAAACACAACTTTCTCTGCTCTCCTTACCCATCGTCTGGGCTTGTACTTTGATCTATAATATTGATAAGATTTTTTCTTCCGACTCTTCTGCCGCTCCCTTTACATACGCGACTACATACGCGTTTAATTTTAATAAATGACAATAAGATTTTTTCAATAGCGTCTTTCATAAACTACTAATGGTATTTATAATTGTAGATGTCTAAAGCTCTATGAAGTCAAAGTACTTAAGAGAATTTACTAATTATTTAATGTATCATCAATACCAAGGTAGATGCATAAAATTCAACTCAATTAATTGTTTTTAATTTTATTAGGTAATATTTTATTACGTCTCGAGAATGTGTGCGTGTGTGGATGGGTGCGCGTATTAATTATTAGATGAGAAAAACTATGCGGGTATTTGTTTATTCATCGAAGAGGCTTGATTAGCGCTTGAAAGAAAAATGAATATTTTCATCGGACGTTTGCCGTGTCACGAGAGAGAGTACATTAGTTCGTATTAATCATCCAAACATTATTAAGCTTAGGAAGTTAATATTTAATTAATAATGTTTATACCATTATAACAGGATGGTCCGAGTCATTTGGCTTCGGTATATCTAAAACTTTGAATGTGGCTACATAGCTAACGTCTTCTTGCGATAAAATGTGCGCAACTTGTTCTCTTAATATTTTTGCGTATTGCTTAATTTTTATATCGTCGTCGAAGTTAAAATTAAACATCGTAGAAACTCCCCAAATGTTCCATGTCTTTTTTAGAAATACTGAAATTTAAATAAACGAAAGATCTTGGATTAAAAGGAAGTGAGACAATCACAGATGCAAAAGTAAACTAAGTAAATGCATCATCTCATTGGCTGAAATAACAATTTTATCGACAAATTTTTCTATTAATTTATGATGTCAGTGTAGATTTTGACAGGAAATTTGACATGTTTCGTCTCTTTCTCTTTAATTTTATAGTCCAACTCCAGCTTTTATTTATTTATCCACCATCTACAATATAATTTTACAATACGATACAAGGTTTTTAAAATCCTTTCGTGGGATTCTCCAGTCGTTTCGAGAGTGAGAGAGAGAGAGAGAGAGAGAGAGAGAGAGAAAAGATGTATATATCAAGTTGAGTCCTTTCGCGACGACAAAAAAGGGGATTTATTAAATATTGTGTACTTTTTTATTTACATCTTAATGATGACTTTTCTTAATTTGTTTGTTTAACTTGATAATATATTTAATTCATAGAGATAAAAGGATGGCGTAAATGAATTTCTTCGGTAATTTTACGCCTGCCCTTTACGATATCGGGTAGGAATTAATCATACTGCCTTTCCAACGATTCCCACCATAAATAATTCGAATGCGAAAAGTGGAAGATTATTTGGGGAGGTGTTGGTGTGGGGTGGGGGGGTGGTTGTGTGGGGGGGGGGGGGGGGGGGGGGGGGGGGTGTGAAACTAGTCAAAGATAAGATTTTGAAAGTATTACGGAGCTTTAATGGTTTTAATGGCTTGGCTGATAAAATACGGATAGAGCCATTTTCGCGAATAATGGAGCTATTCGTTTTTAGAAACGACGGAGCTATGTACGGTTTAAGGAGGTGAAAATGGAGTTTTTAAAGATTTTGGTCTTTGATCTTGTGAGATAGGTGAGTGATGATAATGTCGCGTTGCAAATGCATTTTCGAATTGTTTAATAAGAATAAACGACGCGCACAGAAAGCGAATAAATGAAATTTGCAACGGGTAAACGGGAGAGAGAGAGAGAGAGAGAGAGAGAGAGAGAGAGTGCGGGCG